TAAAATTCTTAATATTATGGGGGAAAAGAAGTTTGCATTTTCAAATTGCACTGGGTCCTGCAAATTATTTAGTTGGTCCTGCCTGGAGTCAAATACCACATTTAAGGCCCCATTATATTAAGATTATCATTTCATATTAATCCAAATATTTCAATGCTCTGCAAAAAGGTATCTGAGATGCTCTCAGATATACATTCTCTCTTATACGTTCTTATTCTTGAAGTTCGAAAGAGAAATGATCAAGGGTGAGAGATCTGTAGTGTGTGCAACTGTTTTTTTTTCCTACTGATCTCACAACTTTTGAATTTTCACTACAACTCTTGCAGTCTTCCAGCTTTTAGAAAATGTGTTGATAATATGCTAACTTTGTGAATGTGTCACAACCACAAACTACATTGTATGACCTTGTAGTTTTCTCCACAAACAGAAAGAAAAAGATATATGCATAATTAAACAAACACCTTTGTTAAGATTCACTAAGCATGACTACTTTGCATCATTTATGCCCCCTCCCCCGCAGCACGCGCGCGCGTGCGCGCGCGCGCACACACACACACACACACACACACACACATCATAAACACATTTTTTGGTATCATTTGAAAAAAATGTGGCAGGTATTCTGACCTTTCATAACTATTTTAGCATATATCTCTTATGAACCTGGTTATGCTCCTGGTTAACATTACATTAATAACATTAATAAGGCCTACACTATTTTAACTCAATACAATGATATTAACTAATATTATTAACATTAAAATTTTAATTTTTCTAATTACCATCCAGATAACCCTTATAGATTTTTAAAACTCTAGCACCCAGTATAGAATTATGTATTACATTTGATTGCCATGTCTACAATAAAGTAAAAATATCCATACATTGTATTCTTTTTCAAGAGGATTTTGTTTGATTCAAGAGCCCCTGTGGCATTTAAATCTTTGATCATCTAAGGAAGCAAAATGATAGAGGATAAAAGGCAACATGCTGAAGAGTTCAGACTCAGTGTCACACATGTGCGAATACAGTAATAGCTTCGCTGCTTAGCTATTAGATCTTAGGTAGCATTTAAATTTGATGAGCTTCAGTCTCCTGTTCTAGAAAACTATAGTACGATTACCTACATTGAAGCAAGTACAGAAATGAAATGACATAGTGAATGCATTTGGTATATTGCTGGCACAATATAGCTACTTCTTTCAGTAACACACATCTGAATATATGTTGATGGTGGGCTTTTGTTTGTTTTATTCTAATATTCACTGTGGGATCTGAGTGAGTGAAACATTAAAAATTAAAAATTTCTCTCTACTGGTTTTACAAACCTATATGTGTTTCATCATCTCCCAAGTGATGAGAGCAAATTTTATAATCTTCCATATGCAATGGGGCTTCAGATTTTCAGAAAAATTAATTATATTTTGATTGGTGGTGTTGTGGTTATGTGTTGGGCTGCTAACCACAAAGTCGGCAGTTCAAAACCACCAGCCATTCCATGGCTTTCTACTCTGGTAAAGAGATACAGTTAAGAAACTCCCAGGGGCAATTCTCCCCTGTCCTTTAGGGTTGCTTTCAGTTGGTATCAACTAGATGGCATCACTCAATGGTGAGTTTGTTTTGTTTTTTGAGTCACATATTGAGTCTCATTTTAAATTTGAAAGTGTATACAGGTTGCATTTAGAAAGTGTGATATTACAAATTGAGAAAAATTGAGTGTGGAAAATATACTTTCTCTTTAAATGAATATGTGTTTGTTTTGCCATTGAGTATGATCTGGCAAAACTAGAAAAAAGCAGAAGTTTGGGGTGCAGTGAATTACTTACACTATCATTTGGCCATGATCTGATTGATGTTCTCTGCACTGACCAGACCAACGGTGACTGTGTTTCTTGGCACTTGGTAGCAGCTCTTTTGTTTCTCTTCACGTTTTGGCAAGTGAGAGGCATGGTTTGTGTAGCAAGCAGGGGCTGCTGAGGTTCTAGTTATGTATTTCTGATTCTGTCTATGTGAAGGCTTTCTCTGCCTCTCTCTTCTCGGAATTCGCCTTGACCTCCAGGAGGGGAACACGGTACTAGTGGTTTTATTGGAGATGTAGGGATAGGTCCTCTTTGATTAGTTAAGAACATCTCAGTGACATTGGGGAGGCTATGCCTTTTGCTTGATAACTCAGGGCAATGTCAGTATCAATATTTTTTTCTATGATGTAATTTTACTTTTAATAAATCTCAACCTGTAAACGACAACTTTTGAACCTTAATGCAGATTCCATGGAATGCCATGGCTTAGAATCGACTCCTAAGCTACTTAAAGCATCCAAAGTATACTTTAAAAATTCATGTCGATCAAGGGCATCACATTATTTGATACTTATCTTTTAACCAGATCAGAGTGCAAATTTAATTATCTGTCTTATTAGTAACCTTTGCAAATTTAGTCATTGACTATAGACCCAAGGCAACCTCACTCTAAATTACTCTCTTAACTTTGATTAAATCATCATTCTTGTCTCAATTTATCCTTTAATCTGTTAGAAGGCAGTATTGCTTTAGTGACCACAAGACCCTCCTATCTCTTTATTTACACTTTCTAACCCTGCTGTGCTTATTTCAGAGGGAAACATTACTGCCTTATGCACTTCAAGATGCTAATGCCTTGTCCTTGTTTTTAAGGAATACCATTAGGAAGACATAAAGTCTCCCATCTGTGTGTATTATCAGATATACCACTGTGCAAATATTTAAAGCCTTCATCTGCTCACCATAACTTCCATACCTGTGGGAAAAAATTGTTTAAGAACTTGATTTGAAATAGTAGCTACCAGCTGTAGATAATACGACCAACATTTAAGCCCTATAAGAGAAAATGCTCTTACAAATTATGAAGTGAACTTCTAAGATTGGAACAACATAGAATTAAGAAAACCAATATAGAATCAAGGGAGCAATTATCCAAAAGAACAAATGGATCAAAGATTCAAGGCAGCAATTAGTCCAAAGGACCAACAGCCTACATAATTCTAAGACCAGAAGAACTAGATGGTTCCCAACTATCATGACTCATTGCTCTGACTGGGATTACAATGGAGAATCCATAGAGTGAGAGAAAAATGCAGAGGAATACTCAAAACCATGACATAAGAACAAAGCCATAGACATACTCGTTTTTCAGAGTTGAGGAACTCCTCATGGCTATAGCTCTAAGATACCTTTCCGACCTAGAACCGAAGCCATTCCCAGAGATTACTTTTCAGCCAAATAATAGATAGTCCCATAAAATAAACAGTTACATCCCAGAGGAATGTGTTTCTTAAAATAATTTTATTTTGATTGAAATAAGGGGCGACGAAAGGGGCGCTCTTTGCCTAAAAGAGAAAGAGAATAGGAATGGGTAGAAATGTTGAGAGAAGTAGTTGGGAGAATGGGGAAACGAGAATGTTGGCACACTGTGGAGAATGTAACTAATGTTGTGGAAGACTTCATATATAAAGTATCAAATGGGATGCTAATTTTCACTATAAAGTTCTGACCTACCACCACTACTCCTTAACCACCACTACCGCAAGCCTATGTAAGGATTCCATGCTGTAAATCACAATGGGAGCTCTCAACTGACTGCCAGAGAGTCTATTCTGACTCATAACAATCTTTTAGGACCTAGTAGAACTGCTCCTGTGGGTTTCTTGAGACTGCAAGTCCTTACAGGAGTGAAAGGCTTCAACTTTCTCCCATGAAGCAGCTGGTGGCTTTGAACTACTAACCTTGTGGAGCTTCCACAGAAGCAGAAAGCCTCATCTTTCTTTCTTGGAGAGATTGGTGGGTTTGAACCACCAACTTATGGCTAGAGAACCAATGCTCACCTGACAGCACCATCTGGATTAATTTAAACATAAAATACAATTATAGATATGCTTAATAAATGAACAAATGGGTCTAGGCAGCTGGGGAAATTTGGAATTAGGCATGGCAACCCTTAAACTTCTCATTTGAGCCCAGTTCCTCCCTTTTAATGAGCAGGAAATAGTCCGGGGAGTGTGCTGGACTTACATGCTTCTGTGTGGCAGTTTTGTTAGAGTCAGGTACTGATTGAAGGCAAGCAGGAAGATTGAATAGCTCTCTTTGTAGACATCAACTTAAGTATTATTCGATTAAAATATTACTTTTTCTTATTTTAAAACTGAAGTCCCAATTTAGCGAAATAATTGGGTAAAACGGATTAGATCTACAGAAACAAAGAAACAAAAAATGGCCGCCACGAGTAAAGGTATGTAATTAGTAAATCTGAAAGGCAATTTAGAATAAATAAATTAGAAGAAGAGATGTGTGGGAGCAAATTAATAAACAGGAACTATATTAAAAGGTATAGAGTTAATGAAGATTTTTCCAAAAAGTGTTTCGTTTGGTGAATTTATTAATAAAAATTGGATAGCTTTTCAAAGTATCAGACTATAATGATAGCTTATTTAAATAAAGACAGATTCATCGTGGATTCTAGGTTCTTTTACATCTGCTTCTGATGAAATGTTTTAAAGTACCAGAGAAATAGACCGTGGAAGACCAGCTTTTTTTTTTCCCTTTTGTGACTTGAGGCAAAGCACATTTGGGCCCTACTGTTTTCAATTGAAAATAAAGGGGATAAGATTTTAAATATACCAAAAATATAATATATAAATTGAAAGTTGCAGGTGTAAAATATGATATTAGTTATTACTTATAATCCTCTTGTAGAAATCCTGGTTAAGTGGTTATGCTTTGGGGTGCTAGCCTCCAAGTCAGCAGTTCGATACCACCAGCTACTTCGCAGGAGTAAAGCAGGGCTTCTACTCCAGTACACTCACGGGGCAGCCCACCCTGCCCTACAGCGTGGCTCTGCGTCAGCATTGACTGGATGGCAGTGAGTTTAGTTCGGTTTAGTATTCTCCTACATGCCGTGAGTAAGCATTGGGCTGATCACTGCAAGGCCAGCAGTTCAAGCTCACCAACCACTCCTCGGGAAGAAGAATGAGGCAGTTTGCCTCCATTAAGAATCTGAAGGATAATTTTGGATTTATTGAAACAGGCAATCATGATAAGGAACTCTTTCCCCATTGCAGTGGGTTCTCTGGTGATGTTGATGGCTTGGAATTGGGAGACACGGTCAAGTACAGCTTGTCCAAAGGCAAAGGCAACAAAGTCAGTGCAGAGAAAGTGACTAAAAGACACGCAGTGAATGGTGTTTCTGAAGAAGCTCATCCCACGATCTACTCTGGTCAAGTCCTTCGTCCCCTAAGGAGTGTTGAGCCAACACAGACCGAGTACCAAGGAATGATGGAGATTGTGGAAGAAGGGGAGATGAAAGGTGAGGCGTGTCCATTTGGCACAGTTGGGTTGGTCAACAAAGGGGATTGCCTGCAGGAAGCAGAGAGTGTCAAGTTCCAGTTGTGTGTTCTGGGTCAGAAGGCACACTCTGGCCTACAACATGAAACCCCTGTGTAGGGCCCCAGTGGCGTGTGTGAAAGGTCAGGTTGGCTTCATTAACTATGACGTAGGAGACAGCAAGAAGCTCTTTTTCCACGTGAAGGAAGTTCAGGATGGCATTGAGCTGCAGGCAGGAGATGAAGTGGAGTTCTCGGTGATCCTTAATCAGTGCACTGGCAAATGCAGTGCCTGCAATGTGTGGTGTGTCTGCGAAGGTCCCAAAGCTGTTTCCGCTCCAAGGCCTGGTTGGTTGGTCAGTCGGTTGAAGAGCATCACCCTGGATGATGCCAGTGTTCCTCGCCTCATGGTTCGCTGTCAGCCAAGGGGAGCAGATAACTCAATGGGATGTGGTGCCGAAAGAAAGATCCATCAAGCTGGTGTCATTGACTCCCCCATCCACAAAGCACCTCATAAATGCACTGTGATCAAGTTGCGGGGGTTTTGGTGAAGAGTTCTGAATATCTCCCTCTTCATCCCTCCCCAAACTGAAATACTTATTCTAATGAGCTATTACACCACTCTTAAAACCTTCCTCGTGTTTTGTTTAATAAATAAATAAATTTAAGAAAACCATTTTAAAATTATACACAGTTGCGGCATGGAAAACTTAAGGTGGTGCCTTATAGTATCAATTTTAGGAGCGTTCTTTGGTGCATTTAACGCAATTGGTAATTTGCAAAATCCACTTCGTCTGTGTTCTAAGTGATCACTATAGACTGCTACCTTGTTGGCCCTATGAAATTCTGCACTTGATATTTCGTGTCTACTCTGCCTTCATACTTGTGGTCTGCCTCAGCACTCAGTTGCAATTCCTTTTTTCTTTCCTGTTCATTATGCTTTAATTCTGAGGACCAGATGAGGGTAGACTATATTACCTTTTAAAAATTAAACAAATTTATAGTAGACAAACCATTTTCTTACATATGGCCAAATGTTAAGAGGTTATTTTTCATATAATTTATAATCTTGTCACAGTCCACTTAATGAAGTTTGGTTAGATATCTCTGAAAATTATCTTCCAGTATAGTTTTTTTTTCCCCTAGGATGGGGGCAGGTGGGGAGGTAAGTTTACTACAATCAGTATGGATGGTGCGGAATTTCATGCAAATGAGGTGTGCCAGAAGTATGATGAATGCACAAATTTGCTGCTGCTTAGACCACTGCAGCTTCTAGGACCCAATTTCTTTTATTAATTTAAAAACAAAACAAAAAAATTTTTTTACAAGTTGTGCCTGAAAAAAAAACAAAAAAGAATTACAGTCTCACATTGACTGGATGGCAGTGGGTTTAGCTTTTGGTCACAACCCTACAAAAGTAGCCGCTATCCCGACTTTAACACCAGAGAGAAGTTTTGTACAAATACAACAGTATATGATGTATTTTTTGGTGCCTGGCTTCTGTATTCAACTTAATGTCATGAGTCATTCTTTTTAAAAAAATTTTTTGTATAGCAGTCATTTGCTTGCCTCATAAAGCAATAAACTAGTGTTGCATTGTAAAATTATGTCACAATTTTTATGCGTTTTACAGTAATAAACATCTGGATTGTTGTTACTTTTGAGCTATTAGGAATAATGTATAAATAGACATTCTTGTATGTGTATTTTGGTGCATATATGATTCATGGAATTACAGGAGGTTTGAGTATGTGAATATTCAGATTTGGCAGATGTTGCCCACAGATTTCTAAAATTGTACTATTTTTATATGGAGTCTCTGGGTGGCACAGATGGGTAAGCACTGGGCGACTAACTCAAAGACTGACATTTCAAATCAACCCAGGGGCACCTTAAAAGTCAGGTCTGGTGATCTGCTTCCAAACACTCAGCTTTGACTACTCTATGGATGTGAGTTTACTCTGCACACTCGGGGGCATCATGAATTGCAGTGGTCTGAAAAGTAAATAATAACGCCATAAAGATTACAGTGTGCTTTATGTGTGCCAACATTTAGTATTGTGAAATTTTAAAATCTTAACTACTCTGGAAGGTGTGTATTTCCTTGAATCCTAAGTGCACCACTCAATTATTTCACTTACATAAACCCATGTACACAAGCATCACCTGGATGAATAAATAGAGTGTTGAAAATACTCAAGAAGGCTCTCTCATAACCCTTAATCCCCGACCCACAAAGATAACCACAAATCTAACTTTCTATCATCATAGGTTAATTCTGTCTGGTTTTAGGTTTTTATATCGATACATGCAGTCTGAAGCCATGAAGTATTGAACTTCATTTGTATGTCCAAACTATTCCTCTATTCCTACATGTAGCAGTTGCTTTTTCTTTTATATTATCGTAAATGTCTCATTGCTGAATATATTACATTTTATGTATCTATTCTTTTGTTGATAGGCATGTGCATTCTTTTAATTTGGGGGCAATTAAAATAAAATAGTCGCAAATAACTCTATATGTGTCTCTGGTACTTCTTACTTCTCTTTTGGGCTTACCTAGAAATAAGATTGCTAAGTCATAGGCTAAGTGTAAGTTTAGTTTTCATGAGTATTGACAGGCAGTTTCTGGAATGGATTAAACCTATTCACACTTCTACTCACAATGTAACAGAATTCCAGATTCTTACTACCATTTAAATTTTATGTTTTTAATGTTAGACATTCAGGAAACTGTGATATATCATTCCAATTTTATTTTACATTTCTGTGGTGAGTAACTATACTGACCAACATTGTTTATGCTTCTTGGCCATTTCAATTATCTCTATAGTTTCTCTCATACTTTAATTTTTTGGTCTCTTGTTATTGATTTGTAGTCATTCTTCCTATTGTCTGGATACAGGTTCTTTATTGTACTTCTGCATTATCTGCAACATCTTTCTAGTCCAAATTTCCTATATTGTCAATACACATGACATTATTATTGAAACTCTCAACAGTCTTCACAAAGAAGACATTCCATTAGTAAGATTTTAATATCGCTGATATTAGATGCCATCGAGTTGGCTCTGTCCCATAGTGACCTTATGCACAACAGAATGAAACACTACATGGTGCTGCTCCATCCTCAAAATTGCTCCTGTGCATTGTTGCAGCCAGGGTGTCAATCATCTCTTGAAGGACCTTCATCATTTTAGCTTCCCCTCATCTTGCAAAACATGATGACCTTCTCCAGATAAATCTCTCCTGGCCACATGTCCAAAATATGTAACATGAAGTCTTGCCATCCTTACCTCCAAGGATCCCTCTGGTCATACTTATTCTAAGACAGAAGTAATTTTAGCAGTCCATAGTCCTTTCAATATTATTGTACAGCACCACAATTCAAGTTCTTTGATTCTTCTTGGTTCCTTCATTCATTGTCCAACATTCACATGCAAATGAGATGTTTTAAAATACAATGGTTTGGATTAGGTGCGCCTTAGTCTTCAAAGTAATATCCTTGCTTTTACAACCTCTACAGAGATTTGTGCAGCATTTTTACCTATTGCAATGCATCTTTCAATCTCTTGACTGCGGCTTCAAGGAGCATTGATTGTGGATCCCAAGCAAGACAAAATCCTTGATAACTTCAAACTTCTCCATTTATCACGATGTCATCTATTGGTTCGTTTGTGAGGATTTGGGTCTTCCTTTTATTGAGTTGAAATCCATTCTGAAAACTACAATTGTGATCTTCATGAGCAAGTGCTTGAAGTCCTCCTCACTTTGAGCAAACAAGGTTGTGTCATCTGCATATTGCAAGTTGTTAATAAACCTTTCTCATTCTTCTTCATATAATCCAGCTCCTCTGATTTTTCTCCCAGCAGATGGAATAACTATGATGAGAGGAGACAACCCTGTTGCACACCTTTCCTTGTTAGGTCTACACAACTGATTTTCGATCCATGCACAAGTTCCTCATGAATACAATGAAGTGCTTTGGAATTCCCATTCTTCTCAGGGCTATCCGTAGCTTGTTCTGATCCACACAGCTGACTGCCTTGGCATAATCAATAAAATACAGTAAACATCTTTCCGGTAGTCTATGTTTGCATTCCAATTGCCAATAATTATTAATGAATCTGAATCGCATGTTTGACAAAATTCCAAATGAAGTTGTTCCAAAGGAAGGTGTCAAACTCACTGCCATTAGTCAATGCCAACTCATAATGACCCTATAGGCCAGGGTAGAACTGTCTCTGTGAGTTTCTGAGACTGTAATTCTTTATGGGAGTAGAAAGCACCATTTTTCTCCTGCTGAGTGCTGGTGGTTTCAAACTATTGACTTTGTTGTTAGCAGCCCAAGATGTAGTCTGCCAGGAGTCCTAGAAGTTGTTGGTAGGTTTATTCAATTTCTTCATCACTAGCTTCCTTGTGCAATCCTATCAGATAGCACTGTACTTCATGATTAATACTAGGAAATTTTAAATTAAGATATCTACATCTGCTTTATTAAAAGAATAGGTACCCATTTACAATCTCATGTTGTTGGGTCATCAGAGTAGCAGCTAACTGTTTCTATTGTTTCCTATTCCAAATACTTTCACTTTACAGCCTGGTTCTAGTGCTACCAGGGTAGGACCCTGCTCTAAGGTGTCCCCTTTTTAAAATGAGGAGTTCTACTAAACAGATTTCTTGTGACCAATAGTCTTAATCAGTTTCGGGAACAATGAATATCACTTTTGAAGTTAATATACTTGAGAGACCCATATATCTGGCCACTAACCAATACTTTCATATGATTTAGTATATAAAATCTATAATAGTTATTTTGTAAGAGGTGGGATACAAATCATGATATTTGAGAGGAGAGGCTACCAGATTAAATATTTGAATTAGTGTTTTTATTGGACTAAATCTGTAGGGTTTAGACCTAAAATATCTAATATAAACCCAAATTTTGCTATTTTTCATACACATAGATTTCAATATTACTAAAGAGTAACTTTGTTATTGCTGATGTTAGGTACAATCAAGTCAATCTGACCCATAGCAACCCTCCTTACAACAAAAATGAAACACTTCCCAGTCCGGCACCGTCCTCACAACTGTTTTAGGCACTGTGTCAATCCACCTTGTGGAGGGTCTGCTTTCCCAAGCACGGTGACCTTCCCAGGGACTAACTTCTCCTGACAACACGCCCAAAGTATGTAGATGAAGCCTTGCCAAAAACAACAAAACACGTGTTCTCTGAGTACTGAAGTCTAATTAAGAACCTTATGTTAGCAAGGTGTTATTTTAGATGTCTGGGTTACAGCACTGGACAAATAGAGAAGGCCCTCTTCTTGGCTAGAATGGACTTCCCAGGAATGGGAAATAATAAGTGATCATGCAAGATTAATATACAATATCAGTTTCGTCGTTGCCTTTTGCCGGCACATTGGTTCTGCGTCTTGACGTTTCTGTCTGCACAGACTAGAACAGAGGCACAAAGTTCTTAACCCGTGCCTTTTCAGAAGCAAATCTTAAGGCAAATGCTCTAACAATCACCTTCTTGAGTCTTTGT